TGAGATTTGAACAGCCGAACTGCAGATAACAGTCAGCTGAAGTAGCCTGCAGTACTGTATTTAACCACTGCGCCACCTCGGCTCCTTATAAAGGGTGTGTGTGTGTGTGTGGACCCTGGGGAGGGGCCTGGGGAGGCGGTACCTCTTTCTTTCTTCTGCTGGGCTGGGGTCGGGGACCGGGAGCTAGCCGAAGAAACCGGGCTGGCCAGATCCGCATACATGTCTTCTGAGTCGGCGCTCCGGATGGAGCTGCTGCTGGAGGAGGCACTGGAGGCAGACGAGACGCTGCTGACGCTCAGAGACCTGGAGGGGCCGGGAGAAGAGAGGGGAAGAGGGCAGAGACCGTTAACGGCCCCTTCCTCCTCTCAAGGGCACGGAGAGCTTCACGCAACAGGCACTGAAGGGCCCGCCCTCTTCTGACCCAACCCGACCGCCCTGGGGGAACCCAGCGGAGACGGAGGGGTTCCAGGGCGAGAGCGTCCAAACCGCCAAGCGGGCTTGGCCAAAGCCGTCGACTGGAGCATCCCGACTCCAAGCCTCTTACCTGGATTTCCTGGACCCGGATGGGGACGGGGAGAGCGAGGCCGAGGAGGACCGGGACCGAGAGTGGGAGAGGGACCGAGACAAGGATCTGGAACCGCTGGAACCGCTGTAGCTGCTGCCGCTGCCACTGCAACTGACGGCCCGCCTGCAGCCGAGAGAATCCCCATTTCAGCTCCCGCGGGTGGACACGAGGGACACCCCCTTCCAGGCCCTTGGGCACAAGCGGACAGCTGACCAGCCCAGCCGGAGGAGGCACCGACATGCTCTTTCAATGCAAGCCTCCCAGAGGGTCTTTCACGAATCCCACCACTTAGGAGGGAGGGGGCGTTTGCAGCAGAGCAAATGGAAAGGAGGTTTCAAGTGGGGGTCTCCAACCTTGGCAACTTCAACTCCTTGTTGAAGCTTTGCTGGCTGAGGAATTCTGGGAGTTGAAGTCCACAAGTCCTAAAGTTGCCACGGTCGGAGACCCCCCCCCCTGATTTAAAGGACTCCTAAGGAGGGCAGTGGGGAAAACCAACCTCCATCGGGGTCCTTCCTTTAAAAGACTTTTGCTGATGAGAGATGAGGGCTAACTGACCCTCTGACTCCAACTGGGCCAGGAACAAGCCCACCTTGCCCCCGAGACCCCCTGCGGAGCCCCAAAGCCCACGTCGCCTTCTGTGAAGCAGCCGCAGGAGCCTCCGTCCTTCCAACGAGGCCATTGGAGGACCTGCCCACTGGAGCCCCCCCTCCAGAACGTCCCCCCTACCTCCTGGGAGGTGTCCTCGTTTGCCGCTCCTTCCGTCTTGCCTCCCGGTTGTCCCCTGGTTTGGCTGGCTCTGGGGCAGAGGGGGCAACCTTTGCCACCGGTGGGGGTGCTGGTGGGGCAGGTAGTTTCTTCACAATCTTTTCACTGCAGAGAATTCGCAGAGAGAGAGAGAGAAATTGGGTGAGAAAACCCAAAATTTAGTGACCAAGGTTAAAACAGACACGTTGCCATCTCTGGTAACCTTTATCCGACTTCTTTCTGGTATACGGACTGAAGCAACCTGCCCTATAAGGAAGACAAATATACTGTAGAGGGATCTGGAAAAACTGTTGTTTTATGAACCGCAACAGGAAATGTTGGTCCTTGAAACTGCCAAATAAAATTTAGGTGGCATCCCAAAAACCAGAAGAAAAAAACCAGTGCAATGGGTGATTTAAAAAATCTGGCCAACCAGATTCAAATCGTCAAATATCCCATCTTGGTCCAAGGACTCTTCATAAGTCCGACAACACAAGAAGGCTGCTGGGCCACCGTAAGATTTAAGCTGATAACTCTCCCGGAGGGATGAATATGCCTTTCCAAGAGCTAAATATAATTACAACGTGAACGCCCAAGCCTCATCTCGTTCCTGAAACTGGCACGGAAGGGCACAAGGCTGCATCATTCAGGCTGCCCTCTTGGCCCGTTCCCAAGCTCCAAAATCACATTCCGGAGATGCAGTGGGCAGCATTATATTCTGGGTTCCGAGGAAGGCGTAAGGATTCTGCCGGCTTTATTTCCATCCCGACTGTCCTCGGCGGGGCCTCCCCAGAGAACGGGAAGAGAGCCAGGGCCCGAGGAACCCGCTTCCTTACCCCTTTCCAGCCAGGACTGCAGATTCCCCTTTGACTTTCGGAGGAGGCTTGTGTGGAGATGGCGTGGGAGAAGGAGACGGTGAAGAGGAGAAGGACTGCGACCTGCAGAGACAGGAAAGGCAAGAGGGTTAGCTATCTCGATATCCACAGGAGGCTCCTTGACTGGGAGGGCTCCGTGGGGGGGTGTTTCCGCTGAGTTGGCCAACTGAATTAAACCCACAGCACGAAAGGGAGAGCAGTAGGTTGGATGCTTAAGATGTTTTGTTAAATAAGAGATGAAAAAAATGGTTATGGAACAGCGAGAAACATTTTGCATAAACAAACCAGGATTCATGTTTACAATTTTGGAATGTTAGGTAAGGCGAGTTCACGGTTCACCGAGAATTCTCTGTTTTGACTGTAGGGGGGGGGGGGGAGAGGTAGACGGCTTACATTACCCTTCCGTACAAAGAGCAGAGCAGAAGTAAAGCGAGTGAACAGCAGGTACAGGAGAGAATTTGCAGCCCAGAGTTGAAATGAGTGCTTGGCGGCTTTTGATTGATTGATTGATTTATTACATTTATATGCTGCCCTTTTCCCTGAAGGGGACTCAGGGCGGCTCACAATTCAATCAGGGAAGGAGGTACAGACAGGGGGATAAAAAAGACAAAACATAATACAAAATTTAAAAACACACAACAACCATACCATTCGAGAAGGGGGGCAAAAACTCTTTAGCCCCAGGCCTGTCGGAACAGCCAGGT